TGCAGTGTTCCCTTGCTCTGTTCTGACGACTGCCTCCTGGTCCAAGTATAAGTTTCGCATTAGAACGATCAAGTGTTCTGGGATTCCCATTCCAGGAAAATATCAGGTGAAATCTCCCAAGCATTTATACTTGATTTACTATCATTCTATAACTTAATCTTAAAGGAGTCAGCAAATATAAATGCACATACATACATTATATAAGAAACCACGAGAAAGCAAAGATAACAACATTCTGCTTGCTAACTAATCTACAAGAAAGCTACCCAGATGTGCAGTATAGTATTCGTGCAGTATTTCTACAATTTAAAATTTTTTAAAAACTGGTGAAAACACCAGAGAACAAAAGTGTAGAAATGCAGACAAAAAATGGCTTCCCAACAGTGCTACTGGGTATATTCAAACACTGTACTATCTTCAGTTAGTTGTCCATAGCAAGTACGGACTACCATTTTACAGACAATAAAATTCTATCGTTTCAAAACTATTACAGGAATAACTACCAGTAATCTACCAATAATGACAACACAAGAAATTAACATATAACGAACTGCCTCACAGGCACCTTTCACTAAGGGACAAGCAAGTTCTTCTAAGAATCCATATGGTAGCCATCAACATGTCATTAACCTCCTGTTCTATGATTCTGAGGTATCGTTTTGTAAAGATTACCTGGTGCCTAATTAAAAAAAAATTAGACTCAGGTGTAAAATGCCTTTCACTTTCTGAAATTATTCTGAAAGTTTACTTAATTTAAGAGAACTTCAAAGCTGAAATTTTTCATTCACATATTTATTCCGCAGCCAAAATAAATTATCATTTAAAGCCATAACATTTTTAAAAGTTGAGGAGAATCTGTGGCACAGCTGCATTAGTAAAACAGACTTCAGTCTAAAGTGCAACACTAAACAGGTGTTCTCTGTTCCCACGGTGGAATAAATACATAATAATTACACAGGAAATTTCAATAAGATCTGAGATGAAACGAATAACCCTTTGAAACAAATGGCCCACAAACAGAGGTAGGCTGCAAACAATTTTCACTAATATTACACCTGGAGACGGGAAAATCCCCAGGTGGCTAGGAACTCCCAGCCCTCATTTCACGCACCGGCCTTGGCCTCTGTCTTCCTTATGTGGTCAGATCCAGAAAGGGCCCTGCACTCCACACTCCCAACACATACCCAGCACACACTGCCATTAAGTCTGTGTGCAGCCTTCATCTGGCACCCCAGGGAAACCAGGGTCCCCGACGTGAAGATCCACATCATTTCTTTAAAGAAATGAACTCTAACAGACCACAGGCCATTTCATAAAGCAAAACATCCTCATAATCTTATCATTTTTCTTACAAAAAATATTATATAACTCATCCAAATTTTTTTAAAAATTAAAAGAAATAGTAAAAATAAAAAAAAAAAATCAAAGGGTTTTATGCCAAAAGCAAAACAGTCCTCCACAGCCTGGCTCATTTGTTCCGCGGCTGCGAGGCCAGGTAGAGAGCGATGAGGCAGTAGATGGTGCCCCCCAGTGTCAGGGCCATGGTGGTTCGGTAAAGCATCTGGTCCGGCAGGCCTCGCTTGAGGTGGACGGGCACACCATCGGATTTCTAGAAAGAATAAAACAAGTCCATGGTTGGCAAGTGTAAGCATCATCTCCAAGAAGAAAGCTTACATATCAGGTGAAGAGAGAACAAAATAGCTACTCTGTAACTGATCCATCAACATGCAGTGGGGAAAGGCCATCAAACACAAAGTGAAATGCTGGTTATTATCTAGTTCGACTTTTTTTTTAAATTTTTATTATTATTATCATTATTAATTTTAATAGACATTTACAGAGGTTTTGGATTTCCATTCATTCATTGCCGCACTTTTCTCCGTGCCCACCCCTCCCCACCAGCTCACTTCCCCCTCCGAAGAGAAAAAAAAAATTCCTTCATTAGTATACAATTCCCACGTCCCCTCCCCCCCCACCCCCCATAGTTCGACTTCTGTTCGTATAAGGATGAAGTCTGAGCATAGCAGGTCAATGAAAAGGTTCAGGATTTTGTATTCAACTGCCTTCTTTCCACCAAGCTAAGCCCTGGTTCAATTGTGAGGCTCTATAAAATATGTAATCCACTGTTTCACAGTCTCCCAAATCTTTTCCCTCTCTGCCATGACCCCAAATCTCCTCCCAAGTCTTATCAGATAAAAAGGGGATTAAAGTGATGAAAATAAGCACACTGTATCCAAGCAAGACCCTGATCAGGATGAGTCTTTGAGGCTGCTCTGAGGAGTAGCCTTTGAGCTAGAAGGTGGGCTATGTTCTAGCAACAGCTAAAGCTGCCCCTGAACTGCACCCAAGACTTGTTCAGGTCCTAAGGTGTCATTCATCTTACCAGTGCATCTAATTTTACTCATATTTTAAATTCCTGTGCTAACTTCTCCGTGGATTTGCAAACCCAAGAAGGATTCCTCTGGTTTTACTGAGTTACTAATGTGTCAAATGTGATAATGGTGACCCATGTATGGTCACCCATGTTTGACAGTGTTTGGTGGAGCTTCCCGATTAAAACAAGCTTGGAAGGAGTGACATCTACTTCCGTAAATAGCTTGCCTCCCTATGAAACCCTATGAACCTGAAGAAAGGATGAAAGTCATGCAAGTGTTTGAGGACTTTCGTTCATAGGGTCGCTATGAGTCACCTATGACTTGATGGCACTGAACAACAACAAACCTCAATAAATTTTATCAACCAAGAAAAAATCCAAAAGGAAAACCTACTGCCAGAAGTCACTACAACCACTAGTCATGTATATAAAAATAGATCTATAATTAGTGTCACTAGACATGCTACCATGTTACCACTTCCTCCACCAATGAAAAAAAATTAAAAAATATGCTTGCAACTAGGGAAGCGTAAGTTTCTTCCTATAAAGAGATCCACCAGTTTAGGATGCAAACTAAGGTCAAGAAAGTTCTACTTATCCTGTACCAGTCAGATCCAATTTGATAGTACACACACAAAAAATAAAAAAAAAAATTTTAAAAATTTTAAAAAAGAAAGTTCTACTTAAGCAGAGAGAAAGGGGAAAGCAAGGGTGATCTAGTGCAAGCCATGGGGCTTCCAAGGAGTTTTCAAGCCTTTCAAGGAGTGTTCCAGGGTCTTCTAGTATTTTTCCTCACCTGGAAAAACCTTTGCAGTTCTGGAACATTATTTTTCCTAGTATAATCATATGCAGGATTGGAAGTCAGCTTAGTTGGCGTGGCAAATATGATAGGCGGTGCTTCTTTGGAAACCACAGGCTTTAAACCCTGAAGAAAGAAAGAAAAATGTCAAACTAAATATGTCTGGGCATCTGAAGCCAAAGTGCTTCATGTCACATACTTGGAGTATGGTGCTGGAGAGGCTATATTCCTTGAAGAGGGACATTATGGCGGGACAGTAAAGGAGAGGACCACCCTCAACCAGGTGGATTTACCCAGTGACTGCAGCAATGGGCCCCCCTGTGTCAGAGTTTGTGAGGACGGCACAGGATAGGACAGGGTTCAGAACTGTTGTTCACAGGGTCAGCATGAGTCGTATTCGACTTGAGAGCACCTAACACCTGGGCATCTGAACGAATCTTTCCAGGAGCCTGCTATCCAAAGTTGTGGAGGCGGTCCTTCAACCCCACTGTGCAGGGGCCAATTTCTGAAACTGTGCAGAGCAATGCCTGTCAAAAATTCTTTGAATTAAGACTGGCAGGGTAAGCAAGCAAAAGAGCATCCAGAGATGGCCATTCTATAATCCTATAAAACACTTGTGCTCTGTGGGAATTAGAGATTCAGCCCAACCCAGCCATCCTGCCTCTCTAGATGAGCTTCTGTAGTAACGTGGAGTCTGACTCCAGAACCTCAGACACACACACACACACTCTCTCTCTCTCACACACACACACACACACACACACACAGAGTAAGACGATTCTCTCAATCTAAAAGTGTCCGCAACTGTAAGAAACCTGTTTTCCAGGATGAAAAACCAAAACAGTTACAGTAAAACAGCTGAACTTTCTAGCATTAAAAACTTATTAAGATATAATAAAAATAATAAGGAAACCTGTTTTCTTCTGTGTGAAATGCTGCCAGTAATTAAAAGCGGTCCCTACCATGAAAAGGATGGCAAAACAAGACCCCACTGTCCTGTCATCTGTTCAGATGCCTACAACCCTGTAGGACAGACTGCCCTCAGGACTTCCACGGCTGGGAATCTTTACCTTGATGCTGTAGAACAGCTGACAGGTTTGAACTGCTGAGATTTTCTAATTTACAGCAGAGAACTTTAACCACTGGACGACCAGTGTTCCCTGAAAGGGCTGTTTGAAGTAACTATTGGGTGCTTAAGATGCTACAGCAGGTATTCAATGAACTGAATCTCAATGGGATTTGAAATCATCATACATTTGGTGTCTCAGTACTCTTGGTCACAGGACAAGGACAGGCAGGCATGCAGGTTTAAAATGAAACTAGGGGAAGTCTGGTTCTCTCTCAAAGTGTAAACCTATGGGGAAAAACATAAAGGTGAGTCTCCCAAAATATCTGCAGATTAAAATAGGGAGTTCTGCAATCAAAAAGAAATTTTTTTTAACTGAGAAGCAGCGTACAAGTCTAGTCTATTCCTTTTAAAAACAAAAAAGGAAACCTTTTTAAACCCAATGTAATACAGTCGTGAAACTTTTGGTTTTTAATTTCTTCAAAGGAATCCAAATCGACATTTAATTGACTTGCTCTTCTGAAGAGCAAGGAGCCCCGGTGATACAGGGCCAGTAATCAGGCTGCTGAGATGGGAGTGGTTCAACACGAGATGCTCCTCTGGGAGAAAACCGACAGGATCAACCGGTGAGCTTTACAGCCTCAGAAACCCAAGAGAGGGTCTCTAAGAGTCAAAACCAGCTCCATGATGGCAGCAGGATATTCTAAAGATCACAGACTGAAAACATCAACATTATTCCCACCAAGAGGGCAAAAGGGTAACAAAAATGTACTAAAGTAAACACGGCTGATTTGTTCTGCTATAGTGCAGAGGATGGAGATGAGTCCCGGCCTTTTTCTCTGCACTGCAACCACTCATTCAACATACATCATGGAGCACGTACTCTAAACCAGAACTCCACAAACAAAACTGGCACTACCACAGTGTTATGGAGTAGAAGCAGCCGATCTCTATCAAGCCCTCAGTACGTGCAAGTCTAATATTTCATAGGTATTTTTCTTTTAATCCTGAGAACATTATGGAGATGTTACTTTTTCCCCCCCATTTTCCCAGAAGAAAAAAATTTAAATGAAAGAAGGTAAGATGCTAAAATCATAAAGCTAAAACTGGACAAATTTTGAAATTCAAATCTCTCTAAAGTCTAGCAGCTTGGCTTTTATATATTCCATCACTACCACCACAAACTTCACATCCATCAACTACTAAAAATAAGTCATTTACAAGAAAAGTTTGACCAGGATTTAATAAATCACCTACATTTAGTATTTGCACCTGATCCAAACCAATCTTCTCAATTACCTGCTCTGCATCAGAGAGCTGGACAATGACTAAGGATGATAGAAGAGGAGTTGATGCCTTTGAGCTGTGGCGCTGGAGAAGAGTACTGAACTGCTAGGAGAACAAACAGGTCCATCCTGGAGAGGGTGAAACTAAGTTGCTCCTTGGAGACAAGGATTGTGAAGCTCTGTCTCACATAGTTTGGGCATGTGGTGAGGAAGGGGCCAGTCCTTGGAGAGGGACTTCACACTTATAGGGGTAGAGGGACAAAACAGGAGAGGAAGACCCTGGATGAGATGGACTGATAGTGATTGTGGCAATGGCGTCAGGTGTATCCAGAGACAGCGAGGATGGCTCAGGACAGGGCAAGGTTCAGATCTGTTTGTTGTTCATAGGGTCGCCACGAGTCAGAGTTGACTCAACAGCACCTCAGAACATAACAAGAACTGCCGTCCAGCTGATTCCAACTCACAGTCCTCCTACACAACTACTGAGATAGCAAAGCTAAAATGAATCGAGTTCCAGAATTTTAGACACCCTCAATCATTTTGTGAGCTCATTGTATTTTTCTCCTAAGAATCATTTCCCCTTGAATGCAAAATTTTAAAAACTTTTCCTACCAAGCATTCCAAAAATGGTTTAAAATTAAATTCATGTTTTGACAGGACTAAAGCGAGAGCATTTTTAGAAGGGATTACACACCTAATTGCTTTGTGTTTATTCACCCATCAAATGATTCAAAACTACTGCAAAGTTTTTGAACATTATCATCTGAAGAGAGGAGTATCAACCATCTAAACAGCTTTAAATATTTCCATTTATGATACTGTAAAAGTATGAGATAGAATTTTAATACTGTAAAATTATAAGACAGATGATGGGAACAAATTTCCTTTTGTTCTCATCATCTTATCCCTTCAATTACTATGAACTGTGCATTTGCCAATCTTTTTACATATGCAGCTTTATCTTCTCTGCACTAAATCCTGTATCCTGATTTTTTTCATTTATTATAAGCATTTTTTCCCAAATTCCTACACAAACTTCAAAATGCCACTAAATTTTCTCCTCACAACTCTGAACATGTGAGTTAAGAGGGAAGCTACTAGGGAGATACTTTAATAAAATAATTAAACCCAGTCCAAGTTACAGATACTCCATAAAGCTGGGGCAGACTGATTCAGTGACTGGGGTAATCGGGATGGGCGTGTCAGAGGCAGTGTGATTGGCACAGAATAGAGCAGGGTTTAGGGCTGTTGTACATAGGGTCGCTATGAGTCGCAAGCGACTCGACAGCACATAACCACCACCACCAATAATTGGGAGCACTGGTGGCCTAGTGGCAAGAAGCTGCACCGGAATCCCAAAGGCACGCAGTTCAAGTCCACCAAGTTGCTCCGCGGAAAAGGATGAGCAATCTCCCACTACGCAATTAACTACCTCTGAAAACCCACCAGAAGGTCAGCTATGGGTCAGTTCTGACCCAATGGTACACAACATCAATAATTTAGCTGTCTTGCCCCAAAGGTAAAAGGTGAGATACTTTATGTACACACCATTAAACTTTCTAACAATTTAAACAGTCAACGTTTGCAATGCTCCATGGAAAATAATCATTAGCCCCTACACAGCTCTGGCAGTGTAGTATGAAGGGAGGTGCACTGCCAACCCAAAGGCCAAGATTCTCTAGTGGTTCAAATCCACCAGTGGTTCAGAACTACAAAGACAGGATTTATAGCCTAGGAAACCTGCTGGAGCATCACCATGAGTGAGATCAACTCAGTGTCAGCAAACAACAATCATCAGCCTTTAAAATTCTCAAGTGCAGACTGGACAAGAAACCTATTTTTATAGGAATGGAGTCAGAGTAAATCTCTTCCCTTATGCTTCTTCAGAAAGCACTGGCAGACTAGTGGTTAAGAGTTGAGCTATCAAATCCACCAGCTGTTCCCTGAAAGAAAGAGGGACAAGATAAATAAATGAAATATAATGGAAATGAAGAATTGTATGGAACACAATGTACATGCATGAAATACAATGTACATGAAAAATATTACTAAAAAAAATGCACTCTGCTCCTTTACTATTTCCAATCTCTGAAAACCCACTGGAGGGTCAACTGTGAGCAGGTTACCATTGGATGGCAGTGACCTAAGACCAGTTCCTTACACCTTTCTGGCACCAGGCACATTCCTTCAGTCTAGAATGGTCTTCCTTCTGCTTTCAGGAGCCTCCCTCTACTCAGGGATTCTGCCCAGATGTCACTCTGTCAGTGCAACCTTTCCTGACAGACCATTTTAACACTGCATGCCCTCCCCACTGCGGTTCCCTATTTCTTTCTTATCAACATCTAATACATTTTTCTTTGTTTACTGTGTCTCCCCGGACTACAACAGAAGCTCTACAAGGGCAGTTTTGGTATATGCTGATCACTGCTCTATGTCCCAACAAAAATGACTCCTGCAAATAGACATTCCAATACTTATTTGTTGAATGCATAAATATATTCTAAGGCAGGGCGGAACATCAGCACAAAGTAGAACTGAATAGCACAGAACCAGTCCTGAAAATCAGCATTGACATAATCATCCCCGCTGCAGTGCAAATACAATCAAACACTGTTCTTGTGGGTAACAAGGAGGAATAACAGATTTTACCTTTTTTTAATTCTTTTTTCTCCAGTATTTTTTATTAATTTTAATGAAAGTTTACAGAGACTTAGGGTTTCCAGTCATTCATTGTTGCGCTTTTCTCCCTGTTCACCCCCTCCCCAATTCACTCT